GTGTGTGTGTGTGTGTGTGTGTGTCAGAAGGAAGTAATACTAGGCCAACACTACATTTCAATATGTGGTACAGGGAGCCTCTGTTTACGACTGTGCCGCCATGCTTCTCTGTTGCCATGCTTGCGCAGTAAAACCTTTCAAAGTCGTGATAACAAGGTGCCATACGAGAGTCCTCCCAGTAAATGTAAGCAGGCCGAGAATGCTTGGAGGGAGCATTTGCGCATGGCGACAAGCTTGGCAAAAACCAACACTGGACTGTACTGGAGGGAAGATTATCTATCACTTTGTGACAAATCTTGTGTCAAATAGTCCTACTGGAGACATGCCGTCTGCCGAGAGCAGGTGAATAACACCAGAACTTTATTTTGAGCTCTGTTTGTTCTGCAGGTGTGCTCCTTCACATTCAGATCAGCAGGAAGATTTTTTTTGTAGCAGATTTTCCTGATTGCTTCTGTCTGGTATCGCTGGCAATGCTAATTCTGTATGTGTGTCTGTGTGTGTGCGTGCGAGCGAGCGTGCGTGCGTGCTTCTTAGTATTTATGGGGCTGGGAGCTGTAGCTTCATCTGTATGCAGATCATGTGTTGTGCAGCTCAATTGGCTCATCCCCTTGTCTGTGACTGAATGTGACTGGCACTCTGATGTATCTGGACTGGCTGCTGCGTGGGGGGGTGATGGGGAGAGAGGAGCCCTTATGCTAAATGCCAAAGGAGAAATCATGTTATGGCATTATGGATCAGTGGCCCATTGACCCTGTGCACAGAGCAAAATGAAATTCATGAGCTTCATGGGAATAATGAGGCCTGAGACACAGATATATGCAGGAAACTGATGATGTGTAATCCAGAGGTGATGAAGAGCGCAGCAGCCTGCTCTTCCTCTGTGGAGAGGTAACTTAAGAGTTGGGATTTGAAACCACTCTTTACTCATTGTTCAAGATAGAAACACCAAAGCAGCATCCAATGTTAAACTCTAGAAGTATTTTTTTGCTTGAATGACATAGTTCACTCAGACAGTCCATCAGAAAGAACCAATGGGAATCCTACACACGTCAGCATTCAAACGTTAAACCTAATGCTGCTCCCATCTTCATCAACCACTGGCCTTACCTAGAGAACAGTAGCTGCACCATGTCAACCAGTGTGTGTTCAGCTGATTTCCTGAGGAGCTCTGCAAACACAGAGAAGAAACAGACATTAGAAGCAAGCTGCAGGAAAAAGAGGAGCGAGCAAAGCAGAGAAAGGGACATTTTAAACAAATAACTAACTAAATAAATAGTCTCAACGAAAGCTGAGAGAGCAGGAGCAAGAGAAGTTGCAACTCTTAAAAGATGAGTGTTTCATTTATTTCTGAATACAAAATAATATCATTATAGTATAAGAAAAACAAGAACAATGTAATTATGTTTGTTACTGCTTGAATGAACTGATGTATTTGACCATCTGATTGTTGAATTTAAAACATTTCAAAGGCATGATGGGTGAAAGCATTCAGTATTTTACAATACAATATAAATGGTTCAAGAGAAGTCTGGCAAAAACCTTTTGTTCCACAGAGCATTTTCCTGATTATATTTCTATGCCATTCCTCATCTCATTCACGTTACTATTAATATTGACCCATTTGGAGGTCCTGACCTCCCAAGTTTGTAACCACTGTTTTACATGATGGTCCAAAACTAAATAAATAAATACAGAAGAAGCTTATACACACAAAACATAGAAGTTACTAAACAAAGTGTGTAGCATGCGTTGATGTGGTTGTAACTGAAGCATACAATCTAACATCAGCTCTCCCTGAAAGGACACGCAGCAGAAATGGATGAGTGTGTGTTGCTGCTCACCACTCAGACGCATCTCAAAGCAGATCCTGAAGCAGGACTGCATGATCTCACAAACCGACTCGTTGGTCAGATGGGCTCCGACCGGTGTGAGCAGCAGAGTCCTGAGGACCTGAAACACAGCATCACACCAATGTCATCAAACACACACTGTGGAGGAATCAAAGCTCGCTCTGCCACATCGGCACAGACACATACTGTTCAAAGCACAGAGCTCCACAGCACTCATTCATACACAGCATAAGCATCACTGCCAAAGCAAATGCTGGGATTTATGAACATAAGTAGAATATATGAACACCACAATGTATGCTACCATAGGCAAACTTTAAAGATACTTTATAAATAAAACTAAAATGATAATAAAACAGTAACACAGAATGTTGTTTTGCCTTCTTCCAGACTCTGCAAAACCAATGTTTTTTGTTTTTTTTAAAGAAGAAATATTATGCTCATCAGGTTTAAATTAGTATTTGGGGTGTAGAAAATAAATGGTGCTTATACTGTCTGCACTTCAGCACTTCTCTCCTATCTGCAGCAGTAGTATCTACTCTTGTTGTAGCATATCAGCACAATAACTACTAAACCCAAAACTTCAAACGGCACAGGTTCCAGTTGAAATCTGATCCAAATGTGTATATCTCCTAATATATACTCTGTAAACAGTAAACATATACTACGTTGTACATGTGTCCTTACAGGAGCATTTCTGAGATAAGACCTAGAGAGCCAAGAAAATAAGAAAGCATTGTTTTTACTTGTGTTCCAACTACACGTATGTTGTAGGGCCGCAGGAAAGCCATTGAATTACCATGAAAATAAATGTACACTTCTCTCTCACATTCTTAATTAAACATAATAGAAACTTACCTTATTACAAAAAACTAAAGAATTAAAACTAAAAAAAGTATATTTTATTGGAAGGCTGGATTGAGACAACCTTATGAGCCGGGCTCCATCAGGTTGGTGCAGACAGCTGAGGCTTCAATGAGGAAACATGTTGTACCTGCAGAATTTTCATAAGGACCACTTCATCGCTGGCAGGGTCGGTTCCAACAAAGCGAGCGTGTGTGACTGCGTCGGCCATGTTCTCTATGGCCTCTGCTGCTGCTTCATGGTCAGCATCTGCAAACAGAAACACACGTTTATCTAAAGGCTGACTCAGAAAAGGTTCTTTTATTAGTATGGGAATGTGTTTCAAGGTTATATTCCTTTTTAATTTTCAAAAGAACAAAACAAGAACAAAAAAGAGTTGTTCATAGTCAGGGTCATTCTGAAGAAGGCTCCATTGAACACCTCTGGAAAACATGTACTTATTTATTAGATGGAAGTTGAAAAAGAAGACAAAAAAAAGGGATATATAGGGCGCTGGTGCCGAAGTCCATAGGGACTTGGCTTGGGAACCGGAAGGTCACCGGTTCAAGTCCCAAAAGACCAAGTGCTACGAGGTGTCCCTGAGCAAGGCACCGTTCTCTACACTGCTCCCCGGGCGCCGTACATAATGGCAGCCCACTGCTGCTAACACTAGGATGGGTCAAATGCACAATGTACATTTCCCCTCTACGGCACGATTAAGGGTATATAGAATAAAACGGGGCTTTCAAACAACAACACCTGAAGGCTGTGTTTACAGAGCTGTTCTGTCAGTGTCCTCTTTGCACACCGTGACATTATTAGTTCCGTTTTGTCTTGAACTCAGCTTAAGTTTTATGATCAGCCCAGTACAGTTACATGGCACGCTGTATAGCTGAGAATTACCATGGATGTATAAAGAGCATTTGATACAGGCTGGAGGCAGGACATAGAGCACATAGAGCGTGCAAACTTGAGTTTTCCCTTAAGCCCTGCCTCGTTTAACGACTTTCAGACCCTAATGATTCAAATAAGGGTTGTAAAAGTGTTAGTACTGGGTAGTTGATTTAGTAAAAAAAATAATCTGCTGATTTACACACGTCTCTTTCCCAATTTAAATTAATAGGTGATAATGAGTCACCAATCCAGCAGTCATTTAAAATTATCTGAGATTTTAAGTAAACTCCAAAGATCACAGCTCCAGCAGCACAACTCATTAATAAACCAAAAAAATCTGGTTTGGCCTCTCCACATTGTCCTTCATCCGTGGCCTATAATGACCAGATGTGGCCTTTTGTGTGAGGCAGGCTGGGATAAATTGGCTGTCAGAGCAACAGGAGCCTGTGTTTTTGAAACCCGAGCGGCTGCCTCCTGAAGACAGCCTGTTTTCCTTTCCCATCGCACTCAGGAGCAGCAATTCATTAACTAATAAACACAGGGGGGGAGTGGAAGAATGGAGGCAGAGTTGGATAAAAGGATGATTATTTTCCAAGTAATGCAACCATGTTGATGGGCAGCTCGGGGTTTAAGGAGACACTGAACCTTTCTGTTTGAGCATGTGATTATCTAAAAACATAACTTTGTAACGTGATTCGTTAGAAAACTGCCCTCTTAGCAAATGTTTGTGACAAGTTGGCAGCTGCTGTGAAGACTTTGAGTGCAGAAAGTCAGTGACTGTAAGTGAGAAGCCGGTTAATGGCTAAGAATTGGAGTATTGAGGCCGTTCAGATACAGCAATGCCAACATCCCTCCAGAGGCAAGGGCGACAACAAGCGTGGACGTTGTGCTGAAATCATCCAATGTCCACACACAGAAACTGGAGCCACAGGGGGATCCAGCAGAATGTCAGAAGTGATATAAAACACTAATCCTTCTCTTGGCACACAGTCTATACGAGCGGCGTCAAAAATAAGGGTGTGGGGGGGGGGGCATTGTTAAAATAACATTGAGGAAAGGAGAGTCTCTACATGAGTGTGTGTTTGTGCCTGAGGGTATGTGGGCAAAGTCAATAGGGGTTTGAACCAGCTGCCACACAAAGCAGTTAAATTAATATCAAACTCTGGTCACAGAGTCACAGTGGTGGCGTCAGGGAAAGACAGACACACACACAAAGCTCTCAGGCTGCACTCTGCATAAGGACCAATACATCTTTAGAAACCAAACAAAGAGACCGCTGCTTTTCCATCTCCAGATAAGAAATGAGTTTGTTCACCTGTTCATCTTCTGAATAGCTCGAGATCTCCTTTCAGACAGGCTGCCCTGCTCTCATCTTAGCTACACAGAGTGCACATCAGTAAATGCATGGTATGCGTACATAGGATTTTGTGGTCTTGAGAGCAAGTGCTGGTGATCTTGCTTTTACTTTTCACAAGACTGAGCAACCAACATATTCCCTAGTATGTGTACATACAGCTATCATACTGAATACATATTTACTGTGAATGTATGCAAAAATGTATGGCATATAGCTGTCTAACAGAAGTTAAATTCATTTCTCACTTATTCTGTATTAAACCTAAATAAAAAAAAACAATAAAAAGAGTTGTAAAATAATGGTGAAGTCAGGTTGTAATAACAATAACTCATCCCTCTCGAGTTTTCTTTTTGAGCTTTGCCAAAAGCCACTGTGTCAAGTGTCCTACTTGGGTTGCCGTCCGGAGTTGTCCAATATGGCGGACCATCTCGCACATGCGCACTGCAGATTGGGCAGAGCGGCAGATCGGGCAGTGACAGTGACAACCCCGAATCAGCACTTTAGTGACAGGAAGCCCGTCGA